AAAAAATGTTGTTTGTTCCTATTCCTGACATAAAAGTGTCCCAAATGTTTGGCAGCGGGGATGCTTCCATTTGCTTTATGGAGGTTTTTTCTCCACTCTCTGAAGAGATCATGTAACTCGTTCTGCGGCGCGTCCACCAATTAGGTTCCTGTCTGTTCCACTACGCATATTACCTCGCTTCATTCATGTAATTGGCTCCGCCCATTCTCGAGGTTTGTTTTCCGCAGAAATTGAACTTTTGCACATAGAAATTCGCATGCGGCAACAAACGATCACACATGACGCCAACTTTATGTGGAGGGATATAACACAACGACCTCTTCTTGGCTGGAGTGTGACTTTCTTCTCGCTCACACGCACCGATTGATAAAGCCTGTTGATCACGAGGTGAAAATTGTTTAGATGAAATTGTTTGAATACGACTCCATCACGACGATTTAGGTGGAATGGATAGTGTGGACGTTCATTGTTACCAAAATCTTGCAGAAAAATGGTGTTCGTTGCAACAAAACCGAGTTCGTCGAGGTCAAAAGACTTCTATGGCACGCTGCGAGTTAATCAGAAACCTGAAAACCCCGGCGTCCCCCCCCCCCTTGGTTGGTAAAAAATTGGGGGTTTTTTTTCCCCCCCCCCCCCCGCGCCCCGCTTGACTTAGAACAAAAGGAGAGACCTCGGTGTCGCGCCATCATTCGTGTCGTACGCATCCTCACTTCGAATGTCCATAGTTCTGCTTATATTCCTTGCTACGCTGACAGCTTCTCAACTGCTCGATGGCGTTGTTGACTCACGCCTGCCTACAGTAGTTTTGATTGGAGAGCCGCGAGTAATCGCACGGCGCATTTGGCGAGGAAGAGAGTAAATCCATTAAATCTCCTACAAACAGACATGAAAATTGGAAAAAAATGTGACGATGGGGGCACATTCGTCGAGAAGACGTTTCCATCCATATTCCGTGTAAGCTTGTTTGCCTCCAGTGGCTTTGCATCTGAAGCAAAGGCTGCTCATTTCACTATTCCCTGCCATGCGCGCCTTCCGAATTTCCAGAAGGTTTTTGAAGACCACTGCTGGGTCGACAAACCCGCTCATTTTGTGTCAATATGCAAAGATGCCCGCGCCTAGCAAGGCCCTCACTAATACTATTATAGTACTGGCTAGCACAAATAGAAGATCGGAAACAAGAAAAAACTTTTCAAAGTTGTGCTAAAAAGAACTTATGGCACTAACTCAGTGTATAAAAAACCTTTTTCAAGTGATGAACCGTAAAGGAGCGAATATTTGGGTGAATCCGCCTGGAGCTATTATATTAGGTTGGCAAGAAAGTCCTGCGACACTTTTTCAAATTTTTGTTTTTAATTTTATCTTTTTTGTTTACAACTCCTGACCGGTCTTATATCTACCATGAGTGTCCACCACTTGTCTTCAACGCTCAGAAAATTTCTTGATGCTCCTTTGCCAAAACCCAGCGGAGTGCGGGTCGAGAAAAGGAGGCGACCTCACTTTCGAGTTGGAGTTGATCGTCTAATTATTTCGTCATCAAGATGATGATTTAAGGTAGCAGTTATTTATAGCTCGACCAGGGGAATACGCTAAGAGAGGTAAGAAATCTTGCCGCAGCTCCAGAATTTCTTACCGGGCTCATTTCGGATCATGGTGATTCGCAATGTCATGAAAGAAATGAATATTGTCGGTACGAGGGCTCCTGACGAGCTGCCTCGCCAGCTTCTGGAGTTTCGCAGCCTAGACCTCTACCTACACAATGGTGCCCATAACGAAGAATTTGTAAATGAGCTTCCGTAGGAGCTGTAATGGAGTGTGTAGGACGCTGCTGGCCTCTTATGAAAATATCAAAAGATCGAAAGCGCTGATAAAGCTGAAACACGCTGTAGCGGTGCACGACATGCCTATTGAAGCGATTGCAGATAGTGTTGGTCTTTGACACGAATCCATGGACAAATTTCTAGACATTTGTACTAGACAGTGACTCGGAGTGTGGATTTAACCAGTGGTTGGGGTTTTTTGAATTTTCTTGGTTAACTATTGACTGCAGCACTTATATCCACCTCGTGGATTAAAGCCACGAGAATGTTCTACCATTTGTTAGTCATAAATGTTACCTATTGATTTTTCAAAAAGAAAATTTTAGAAAAAGTGTCGCAGAACTTTCCAGCCAGCCTAATAATATCACTTTACAGAAGAGGGAGCGAACCGGCCGGAGGGAATAGAGAAAAATTCCTACTGAAGTGATACTGGGAGTCTGCATCGAAGCAGTGTAATAAGTGGCGAAGAACATCCTAACTATGATTATATCCAGAATGTCTCATCTCGATGCAAATGGTCAAATGATTACTTCAGATCAATGACGTGATACGCAACGTGCAAGCGAGAGAGCCATATCACGCTCACCCCGTTATGGTTCAATCCGGTGACAATCAAATGGGAGGAAGACCAGTCACAATTTACAGGTATAAGCAAAAAATTATTCTTGAGTCAGATGTCCAAGGAAAAATTCTCTTCAACACGATGATTCCCTGCCCAATTCTCTAACGACTCCTCTTACGATCTAGTCCTTTTATCCCTTCCGAAGATGATGACGTCGGAGTTGTTGTTAGGCCTTGATCTTGCCACGTTTCGTCTCCAACTTCACCCCTAAACTTTAAAAGTGGGTCGACTGGAAAGGCTGTGGGAAGGAACTTCCGTTAATTCCAAGGTCAGCTGGCACGTTTGCCTGACTCCAAAATTCTTCAGGAGCTTCCTCTTCACCACCACGCGCCATTACCTACTTATAGAAACAGATAAGCATTCGATTCTGAGACCATCCAACTACACCTCATCCTCATGTCTCCCTTCCTCCAAAACCAACGTACTGCGCAGCGGGGAAACGGAGGAAACGGGCCGTGGGGTGGAAGAGAGGTTAAGTTTCTTCAAAAATTTTCAAAAACCCCGTCAAAAACGACCCCTTTTCTCTCAACTGCAACCTCTTCGCTTCACAAAAATGGCCTTATTCGACCCTTTCACCTCTTTGAACCCTATATACGACCCCTCGCCACCAGAAATCGCAAATACAACTCGCGTGTGACTTAGTCAAATGGACGGTTGACAATGTCACAAAGGCAACTGCGCCCTCGCCAAGAGATCCCGTGGTCCACCGTTTTGAGCTAGCCCGTTTTTCTTTTCATGACATGGGCAACTCATGTCACATGAGAATCCAATCGCTAGTTTTCTCCCACACCAGCCCTCGCTTTTTCAAGCTACCACTGTGACAGACCGGAACAAATACATCATTTACGACTATCACAAAAAAAAGCTCCACAGAATTGAGTAGACATTACAATGCGGGTTTGGTGACCCATAGTCAGGCATCTGTATGAAGAGTCCGCAAAATTATGGGTCTGCCTGCCTTTCGACTTTCGATTGCACTACAAGCTACGTGCTTATGGGAATAACAAGAGAATACCATTGGAAGCACTCTAAACGCCATACTCCAGGGTGAATAACGGTCGAGGAATTCCTAGACCATAGCTTTGAACTGTTTGAGAGTGGTATCGAGAGTGAATGCACGAGTGGCCCCAGACAATACCTAACCATTTGGGCGCGGCCGCGGCGAACGCGGCCGAGTTGATAGGTGCCCGCGAACTCAGCACAGCACAGTTCGCGGGCACCTCGAGTGCGTTTTCAACGGTTCGCGGGCACAATCGACTCGGCCGCGTTCGCCGCGGCCGCGCCCAAATGGTTAGGTATTGTCTGGGAGCCTGCACGAGGTGGAGAGCACACACGGCTGGCGGGTGCCGAGTGAATATCCGCGCGGGAGAGCGTGACCAAACAGGCGAAAATCCCAAGCCGAAAATCCTATGCCTTTGTGGATTCCTCGACCGATTTTCATCCTGGCACGTACTGTACAGTACTCTTATTGTATGAAAATGAATATGAAATCATGCACATTCAAAAATAACCCTTAACTTAATTACCGTTCAGAAAAGTCATTCGGCCAGCAAAACTCTTCTACACTGGTGGCGACGTCGTGACGGATCAATGGGTTGGAGGCGACGATAACAACGAACGACGAGAGTTCTTCCGAATGCCTGTGGATGAGACCAGGCGGCATCTGTAGACGATTCGAAAGCACATTGATAAACGGTACAACAAAATAACAAAAGCGACACGTTTAGTAATCCTTACCCGAACTCGCGAACATGCCCAAGGTGGGCAGCGAGCAGCGCTCGCAGTACTCGACACGAGCGGTCGTGTGAAAAAAGCCAGATACGGTCTCGGACCGATCCATTACAGCCAAAAAGCACACTCCACGATGAACTCGAGAAAAACCTTGGAGTGATTCATTTCTGATAGACAATCAGAAGTACAGAATCGAGAAAATCACGGCAGCCACATCGTGGACAATTTATAGAATCTCTTCATGTTAACCTAACTATTCATAACTCTAAATGAAGTACAGGTTTCAAGAGATCTCGTCTTAGAATGCAACATCAAACAGTAGATCAGATCTGCCAGCATTGTGGGCCTATGGCCAAAATAAAGCGTAATAGATGCGATATGTGAGGGAATAGACGAGCAAAAGATCGAAGATATATTGCAATGAAGAGAACAACCGGTTACCTAAATTCCTGAAAGATTACCAACAAAAAAAAATTGACCCTATCGTCACATGAAGATTGACATTCGAAATGTTGCAATTGTATAAATCAAATGTATGTCGAAATTCCGAGTTGCACATTCAGTGAGAAAGAAACCGAGTAAAGGAACGAGCACAATTTCGTTGGTGGTGATCACACATCAGTTAGGGCACAAAGTGCAATAAGAATCATAAGACGAATTCGATAGAGCCTCGTCACCCTGCCACAACAACGTCGTATTATGCGGACGGGGTGCAGACTGGTCATTCGAGAAAGGAATCACGTTCGATCTGAGGAGCACTCCACAAAACCAAGTCCTTCACGACAAGAAGTGCACGATCACAATAGCCAAGACTAAGCCTTGTTCTCTTTCTATTCGTGCCGGTAAAATGCCGGATTATTGTAAGAGTCGACGAACGACAGGTCGATATGCTGGAGAGGTTGAGAAGGTAATTGTGGTCTGAAACCAGGACCGAGCAGCGATTCGACGTCTCCCTGGCCACTGCAACTGTCAAGACCGGACGATGAGAGCATCGAGGCGAGATCATCTCCTCTGAAACAAACAGACTGCACTTTTTTCTAGCGAGCTCCACACTACTGGCGGAAGAAAACCAAACAAAATTTTTCGAGTGAAATGGGATAGAATGGCAAAAAGTAGAGAAGTAACTCCAAATGCAATACATTCAGAATGTCGCCAAAATGATTAACTGTGAAAAAGAAGAATGACCCAAAGCAGAAAAGAGAATGAGATTTGGATTGACTTGCTAAATCCCCCAATAATTCAGAACAATTTAGCAAAAAAGGGAACGATTTTCGACCGTTCTCAATCGAGAACATAAATAAACTTACACATCCATTGATTGAATTGGCTGAATCACCTCCCCAGGAGACCAGTCCAACTTCGACTGCACAGATAGAGGCGAAGGTGAGTCTCCACCGCTGAGAACGGAGGACGACGACGGTTTACTAGAAAAGCATACCGTTTTCGATGCTCAACTCTTGACTGTCTTCACGAATTTTTTAGGCGGAGAGAAGCCTCACTTAGTAGTCTTTGCAACCATGACTATTTTCAGACTGGATATATCCCGTCGGACTGTCAGGACCACCTCGATTCCGCTCCTCGCTGTCAAAATATCGCAGCATCTCATCCTTGTCCATGTGAGGATAGAGATATCTGAATAATGCCTTTGAGGTCGAGTTCACCATGAAAATATACCCATTAGAAATCAAAGTAGAGGTCAGTGAAGGTCAATCAGTGATGCGGGAGGAGAAGAAAAAGAAAAACGGCCTGCCTAGAAAGACCCCCTTTTTGCCCCATTGATTTGCGAATTAGTCATGTCTTATCGGTGCTGATCTTTCCAAAGCTGACGCCTCTCAGCAAGAGCGGCTAGAGTCAGAAGGCGAAGGGTTGGGCAGGCAGTAGCGCGAGCGGCAGGGTATGGCCCTGCTAGGTCGCTGGGGTATACCTTTCGCTGCAAAGCGCGCACCGTCCCACATCTTGAGAGGGTACGCCTGCCTTTCCGCTAGATATATTTTGCCTTCTTCGACCATCGACTTTATTGTGGAATACTCCATTGAATAAGTTCATGGGAAAGCACGTTATCAAGAGAAGACTGAATTGAACAGAGCAAAGTGTATCTTCAAAGGCAGAACACGGTGGCCGTAGGGTAGAGGGGTTGTTCACGTCATTAGACATCATCTGTTCTGGCTTAGGCCACAACCCGCGGCCACCCCCGCTCCTTGGGGGCGGGGCTTAGGTATTCTCAGGTACTGTTCTGCCCGCAACAGAGTACATCACTTTTTCTGTCTTAAGGATAAAAATCTTGTCCACTGAACCACTGTATTGTTTGCTATAAGAGAGACATTCAATCTCTCTTATTTCCAAAAGGCGCCACCCATCCGCCCAAGTCATCACATCATCAGTGGCCTAGGTGTGAGATCACTTCCAATAACTTTTCACTAGTTACGCTCAACGACGTTACAGAAACCGTTCCGCCTTCCATCCATCGTACTCACTGCCTTTAGGACCCGGACTGCGAACCAGAACATCTCCGAAGTCAGAAGGCATACCCCATGCGACAGAATCTTCGAAAACAGTGAGGTGACAGCGAGGTCAAACACAAACAATCAACTCACTTAATCTCCTTCAGTTGAGGACAGCTGGCTATGCGCTGAGCTAGAGAAAGCTGGTCGAGATCCTTGATGGAAAATGGTGCCAGATGAAAAGGCACTGAACGGTTCATTTTCACTTGCTCCGAACGGTACAATGCAAAAATCCAGAATTTTGAATAAGGAAGCCGGAATGTCTTAGTATTGACTTACGCACCTTTCTGACCATCATCATCCTCACACACAAATCCTATGCTGACTGCGCCCGTCTGGGTGTCACTGAAGCGCAGCAGGAAGGTCGAATGACTTGACATCATCATGGACTGCGAAGCGTCATGCTTTGATATAAATCCCACCAACCATCCTGGAACATCCAAAAATAAGGCCAAAACAGCACACAACCCTCAAACATCTAGGATGGGCAAAGAAACGTGACCACGCAAGACCAAGAGTTACATTGTGACCACTCACCTTCGTCCCAAAATTTCAGTAACTTCTGCTTTATGAGCTGCATAATTGCGAAAAACCATTCCCAAAACGAAAACGAGACATCATCGCGAAGATTTTGCTGTAAGAAAACCCCATGACCTCTTTGAGAGAAAACTCGATATTTGGTGATGCAAGAAGATGCATGATGCCACTGTAAATGGGTAGGAGAGCAAACCTTGGCGAAACGATGAAATGTGATGGGCTTTTGATCTGGAACATTCGGAACAAGCAATTTTTCGGAGAGGTAGTTTAGATCGGCGTCAGATAGTGGACGACGTGCTCCAGTGAAGAGCCTTCAAAGAAATTACTCAGAAAATATAAGTTGCACTTGCTTTGGCTGTACTGGATTTGAAAAGTAATTTCGAAGCAGTTCCATCAGTAAAAACATTCACTTTGCCATACATATAGTCTATATTTACAGCTACAACTTTTTCTGTAAATGTTTCTGAAAACACAAAGAAAACCAGGAGAACTTAATTGACAACTCCGTAGGATATTGGACACGTTTGCTAGAGTGAAGCATATTCGACCATTCGTGAACCTAGCCGTTTGAACAAAAACTTGTTCCGTTCATGCAGTTTTGATGAGCAACGGAGAAAAGCATGTGAGAAACTAACGTGAACTTGTGTCGAAGAACGTGGCCAAGATCCTTCCATGCCACCGCAGTGAATGTCTGTGTAAGGTGAGCGCGACTGAAACTCGCAGTTCAAATACAAAATCTGGCGATAGGGTACTGTTTAAGTAAAGGCCACAAATGACAAGCAATGGGTATGTCTATTCGCAAGAACCACCGGTTCGTCAACGTACTTACCGATTGACGTGAGCGAAGATGCACCTACAGAACGTAAATTCAGCACAAAAAAAAAAATAACAGCAACAAACATTCAGCAGTGGGTAAGCCGGGAACCCAACCAATATCCAACAAATGGATAAATCTCCCCTGCCGAACGAGCACGGAGCGAGTGAATTTGCTTATTTGTAGAGACATGCCGCTATAGCCCCACCCAAACTTTTACGGATCACCCATCTGTCAGCTAGCAAGGGTGTTCGAGCAGCGTTTTTCTTTTCAGATACGGTTTCGTGTATTTTGTAGGAATATTCATGGAACATAGCACATTTCGTTTCTGCTGAAGATCTTCTGAGGAAAGAAGAGGAGGAATGGTCCAAAGCTCGATTTCTCGTGACGACTGACAAAATTTTGCATTTCGTGTTGGCGCATTCAGATGGTGCGCCAAACAGGGTGAATATCGGTCGAGGAAATCCTCGACAGGGGGGTCGTACCTGTTGGGCTGGTCCATGGGGGGTCGTACTCTTGGGGGTCAGTAACAGAAGTGGTATCATGGTGCAGATAGGTAAGAGGGTATAGCGCAGCAGAAAATGAAAATATCTGAAAAAAACATGATATTAAATTTTCTTTGCAGGTTCAGTCGCTCCATTCCTCCACCTTCATGAGAAGGGCGTATTTGAAGGCAGTACAAAGAATGAAAGTGCATCCCCGCAAAGAAGAGTGCCACATGTGCGCACGCGCTGCAAAGGCACCTCCTCTGCCTATCGCTCGCTCCTTCTCCCTTAATACCTCGCTGAGAATGACACTGTTGTTAGGGACCCTGTCGCAAAACGACAACCGTGAAGGAAAAGCCCCTGGGCAAATGAAGTTGTTTCTTCAGGTTGTAGGAGTTACGAAATGCGTTTACTACAATGCAGCTTCTGTCAACTGGTCATGATCATATGACACCTTCGAATCGATTCTGCAACTTCGAGTGAGGTCGGATGCATGGCCTATACTCAGACAAAATTCGATGATGACGATTGCCCCTTTTCCTATTGCTTATGTTGGGAGGATGTTTTCTAGACCCATTTCAAGCGTTGCCAACAATTACACTTGCAATGGTGAAGAGGGAGCGGATTTTCAGGTGGCCGGATCCGTCCTCGATACATACTCGACGCAGATATCTTCTCAACTAGGAAATGTAGAAGAAAGCTAAGAAGACCATCAGAAAGCGCAAACCTTCCGCTATCTTCACTTTTTCAGGATCTCACGTTTAAGAGAGATATTGCTCTTGAAGTGGCAAAAACTCGCGTGAAAATTTCAGCGTCCTCGACGTTTACTCGACGAAATTTGAGAGACCCTATCTTTCTGCATGGAAGGCTTTCAGAGCAATTTCAATACTTCTTGGAAACGCGAAATCCAGCTCTATCTAACCCTACCTCAAACTGCTTCAAAGGTTATGAAATGGAGGATGCAACCTTTTCATCGAGGGTGTAGATTTCGACGGTTTTTTTCGGGATTTCAGCAAATCTGACCCAGTGACAATCGCGCCGCAGCTGCCGTTGAATCGGCCTTTGATACACTCGGCTGTTTTGATATACTCAAGCAAGGAATCAAGATTGAATCGCAACCCCGTGCCTTCAGGATTTCTGTGCATTTCTGAACGAACCTGACTTTGAGGTCACACAAAGTTAATGCCTCTTTCCTCGAGTCGATATTTCAGTAAATACACAAAAGTGTGCAGCGATGAAAGACAGTGCATAGATGACAAGATGAGGCGTCCATAACATTATTTTGCAGGATTTTTTTTGATTAATTAATTGAATTAATTTGCTCTGTTTTAGGGGGTCGTGCCAGGATCTCGATTTCGGGGGGGGGTCGTACTTCTGCGCAGAGTCAACCCTGCGTTGCGCAGTTCGCAACGGCACGTTGAGAGATCCTCAACGCACGCTGTATGGGCGGAGACACAGACGGCTCGAGCATGCGAGTGTGAATGTTCGCGCGAGAGAACGTGTCTAATCGGGCGAAACTGCGCAACGTGGCCGTTGAGAACTGCGCAACGCAGGGTTGACTCTGCTTCTGCGCCAGCGCCAAACGACATCCTTCACATTAGGACTGTGATCCTCGCGAGGATGTTTTGCTGAAATCCAGCAGGGACAATTTGGTTGCCAAAGTGTCTCCCTAATGACGCCACATGACAACGGCCCCAGAAATGAATGCCCTTCTTGGGATCAGGGACCAATAAAACCTTCATAGCCGAGGTTTCAGAAAGAATCAACACATTGACCTAACTTTAGAAGAATGGAATCATTGTAAGAAGAGCGGCGGACGACACGCAAGCAAACTCCTCGTCATTTTCCCCGAGAAATGAGAAATTCTGAACCAGGAGGGGCAATGGCAAGTTGGTGATGATCAAGAAGTCACGCACGACGGCAACGCCGCTATGTTATTTTCCTCGCCAAAGAGTGGCAGGTTAAGCTCTGTTCTGGTTTTACGTTAAAGCTTGCCCAAATTTTTGAAGTCTGCTCAAAATCTCGATTTTTCTCAAAGCTTTGATAATGAGAACTTATCAGTGTTCCAATTATGGACATGACACTTTTTTCTGACGCGCTCCATTTGCCACTATTTTGGGGCCGCGACCTGACTCGATGATTCTGTTAAGCGCTCCCCTGCATCAACCACGATGCCGACAAGCTTACCGATATCCAACATTTTCATCAGTACATAGCTTGAGCTTCTTTTTGACTTGATTTTCAATGTGCAGTTCACAAAAACATTCTGCGTGCAAATAGTTAATGCATGCATGATATGCGCCACACTATTGCAGTGCAAACGTCAGCTCCAACGGAATTATTCTCACTTGGGCATTTCTAGAATCGTTCAGCTATAAGTAACCTTGGACTTGTGTTCCATGTATGTGCCCCTAAAACATGCAAAAACCGTTTCGAATGCGCGGCTTGCGATGGACGACCTTCCTTTTGAGAGGAAGGAAGTGTGGCAGAATGAGACTTAAAAAAGTGGCCAAATAGGTGACAGGAAATTGGAGTGGGACCAGTCAAAGCGACACTTCCCTTTCTGTTGGCGAATCCGGCCACCCATATGGCTTCAAAAGATGCCAGTCATACCGCGAAACTAAAATAAGGAGTAAAATGGGTGAGGAAAAGCAGAGAGCGCGCGGATAAGTGACTCAAAAACAGGTGGCAAGTTCAAATGGAAGTTAAAAATTGGGGAGCACTGCGACTGGGAGAGAGAGGTCAGGTTTCCAAGGAGATGTGACGAGGCGCTTACGCGCACAGAGCGCAACCTCACCAGTCTCTATGACCGCCTTCGCGCCCGTATCCGCCCTTAAACGGCTTCACTACTACAGGGGCATAATGCATGTTGAAACTGTCACCACCTGTTAACTTTTCGGCCCGAAAGAGAATTTTAGTGAAAACGGCCAAATTTCCTAGTTGCATATGTGTGATACGCCATAACCAAAACATGACCTTTGCAAAACAATGCAATAAGGAATCTTTCGTTTCTTCCATTTCTGCCAGAGACTAGTTTTCGGAACACCTGCTCTTAAAGAGCCTAGACGACTAGAGACGTTATGCGACATAAGACCAAGCAAAGATCTTTCTTTCGTTTTTTTTTGAGCCAGTTCCCTTCATACTGTAATGTGGATTTCGAAGATTTACAATTCGAGTTTACTCAAATTTAGCAACATTCAATCAAAATGCAGATCGAAATTGGGGCGCCTTGAAATAGGGGAGCGTGGTATTTCAGCTATCAAGAAAACGCAGACAAGAACGGAAAATCGGTGTAGATCGAGGAGCTTGGGGGCCCACACATCTTTGATAACAGTCACGTCCACATCGCCAATGGTCCATCATATCCAATATGATCCTCGCTCTGTGTAGCGCGCTGCATGTGCGGCAAAGTACGGCCGCATTACGTACATTATGTGAGACATTTCCTTTGGTGAGCAACACTCACTAACTGTTAGACTTTTTCCTTTCCTTATCCCGACCTTTAATCCTCGTCAAGATCACTACATTACGCAAATGCCCATAAAAATTTTAAACTCATTAAAAAGGTTGGCAAAACACATCGCGTTAAGATGAGAGAACTAGGTTTGATATGATACTATGTTCGTTTCCAGTTCGTTTCCTACATGACTCAGTCAACTGTGATCACTAGAAACAATGTTCAAAGTTTCACGCAAGAAAATCATTTTTAAGAGAGAACCTACGAAAGCTACACTAGGGACGGTT